CGTTTACGAAACGTCAAGAGCTAAGTAAGAATTTGATATTGATATACCTATATTGATATACCTATATCTCTATTTCTCTTCTTTGAACATTTTTTAAAACAAGGTGTCACTGTCAATCGCGTGGATTTTGGGGTTAATCACCTTCTAAAATGAACAAAGGTATAGAAACCACAAGCAAGAGATATCATTCATGGAAATTCGAGACTGGCACAAATAAAAAATATATAACGGATGAAAATACTATTGAGCTCCCTTTCTAGCCATGAGCACTATAAATGTCTCAACAATGCATCTTTAATCAAGACTAATCAGCAAATCATTTTCTATGTTCAAGAGGGCAATGTATACAGGGTGGGTCACGGTCGATGGCACCTTAGACGTTTACGAAGAACGGGACATAAGATCATTCTGAAAATTTGGTTACTCAAGTAATTGCTCTTGATCTATCGATCTAAAATATTTTCAGCTCTGCGGCGTTGCCGCTTCTATCGAAAAGTAGCAACAACTTTGTTATTTTAAATAGAACACCCTGTATTTTATCGCATTTTCAGATTCTCTCTGAAGAGCTGATTTCATCGATGTATCACACTTGGGGTCTAGCGGAAATGATTACAGAGATATAGGGTGTGAAAAATCGACATTTTTCAACTTTAGGAATTTTTTTTGTCGAAACTATTCATTATTGGTGAAATCGGCTCACATGTCCCTATCCCAACTTTTGATCAACTATCTACTGACATTTAATTGAAACAAATACAGGGTGGTGCAGAATTCAGATTCTTGATCACCCGGTATATGTCCCAATACATCAATCTAATTATATTTTTTCATTATCAATGATATCGTCAAAGGAATAATACCCTTGATCACTGAGAAATTTTCTTGTTATATTCTTATGATACTCATTGACAAAATTTTCGCCTCCAATTCTGAATTCGTCCCTGGGCAGTTGCCCTTCGTGCCCTGTGGTTAATCCGGCCCTGCTTGCCGACAAATTATTTGAGATATACACATCAATTACCAGGAACACATATATGGAAAAATTTCTCATCCACGTGTAATTTGAAAAATTTATGATGGTTTTTCGAAAAAAAGGTCATGTGGGGTTAATTCTCCTGACAAAATACATCCGTATGTATTTTGAAAAATCATGATCACAAAAAGAGTTCCTGTGGGGTTTATTGGTGCCTGACAAAATATTGTGAAATATACAAATTATTAGGAACCCTTAGAGGAATACATTGATGGAAAATAGTTTCATTAACGGACATATTTTGGAGGTTTCAGTAATTTCATGGCCAGCCACGATCATAAATTATCAATAAACGTTCACTGGTGGTATGGCGCGCGCCTCGAATAATTGGCGATGTCGTGGCTGGAACTCGTGTCTGGTTTGTGGAGGCTCGACTATTATTTTCTCCATTGACCATCGTTCCATATGTGATGATAGATCTCACTTTTACTGTGTGCAGTAAAAGTTAAGTGTAGCGGGCGGCCATATCTCATAAGATGTTGGTCGTATAGGTTTGCGGAAAAAAAACATAATGAAAGTCGCCGAGAGAAATTGCTGGTAATTATTTTCGAGTTTGTCAAACGTCCGGTAGAGGGCGTAACAACCAACGCTAAGTAGAAAAATGGGATTTTTATAGAATTTTGTCTGATGAAAGTATACCGATGATATCATTTTAATCTTCAATGGTTATTTCCCTACATTTTTCATCTGAACCGTTTTGTTCTCTCTATCAAAATAGAGCGGTGGGAAAAGTTTTATTAAACAAACCAAAATTTTACCTGTTTATTTCGACCGATTTTAGCAAACTTAGGCTCATATGAAAGAGCATAATTTGCTTTACAAAACGCTTATTTGGTTTTGGATTTTTGACTTTCGCTGTCGCCGCTAGTTGGCGTTAACTGAAATGTTAACAAATTTTTGAATTTTTTCCAAAAAAAAAACAAATGTAATGGTATATTAATTTTTATATGTTTTGGAAGGGGATAAATTTCTCTATGATTCAATAGAAATAATTAATCACTTACCTTTTTTTGATTCGTTGATATTGACCAAAATTATGCTCTTTCATATGAGCCTAAGTTTGCTAAAATCGGTCTAAATGAACAGGAGAAATCTTGGTTTTGAAAAAAAACAACTGAATTTCCCCCACCGCTTTATTTTGATAGATAGAACAAAACGTTCAAGACAAAAAATTTAGCGAAATGATCAGTAAATATGAAAATGATATCATCAATATACTTTCATTACAAAAAATTCTATAAAAATCCCATTTTTCTACTTGGTGTTGGTTGTTACGCCCTCTACCGGACGTTTGACGAACTCGAAAATGATTTCCAGCAATTTCTCTTGGCGACTTCTATCATGATTCTTTTTCTCGAATCTATACGACCAATAAATATCTTATGAGATATGGCCGCTCGCTACCCTTAACTGATCACCCTGTACATACATCTAGCTTTTTTGGCCTTGTTGATTACGTCCTTCTCGTGTTTATTCCAAAGAAGTTCTTGGTCCAGGGTGAGCCCTAGGTATCCACCTCTTTTTTTCATTCTATATCCCACCCATTGTGATGGTTTTGAGATTAGTTTTCCTTTTCTTCGTGAACGTGAGGGTGGTTTTGGTTGGACTGATTTGACTCCCTTCAGTTCTTCATTTATTCAAGGTTCTCATTTTCGTGGGTCTTGTTTCACGATGCTTTCATTGCATTCATATAGAAAAATAGCATGTTTGATACTATTTAATCATCAAAATAAAGTCTAGCAGAAAGAAAAAATATTGGTCTAAAAGATGGTACTTGCGTCAGAGTGAATTGAACCCATCTTGATGTCTAGAAAGGAATCACCGAATATAATCCAGTTATTTTGAATTCCTCTTAGAATATTCTGTACTTCTTATCTTCCATAGACATAGAAAACTCCGAAATAGCTCGTTAAATTTTATAAAAAAAATTAGTTGACAAGGGCCACGCAATTTCCACAAAGTTATCAAATCATAGTGTGAATACTTTTATTGAAACTCCGAACTAAACGGAATGACATTCAAATTAACTATGCTATATCTCTGTTCCACTTGTTATTATACGATTCAATTGTTCTTCTCTTGAGTCGGAGCGGCGCGTAAATCGCCCCTTCACGTTCGGTTTTTGTTAAGTACGCTGAGCACATCGCGAGTCCCGGAGTGACCCTCCATCGCTCCACTCCAAAATTGAACGTGACGTTTCGAGAAACGCCTGGCACGTCTCGCATCTGACTCGGCGCGAGACGTTCCAACCGTCCTGAATACCTTGCGCGATGCGCTTAGCGGAGTCAATAAAAACCGAACATGAAGGAATAGTTGAATCGTATAATAAAAAGTGGAACAGAGATAGTTGCATATGGTAGTTTGAATATCATTCCGTTTAGTTCGGGGTTTCAATGAAAGTATGCACACTATGCTTTGATAACTTTTTCGAAATTGCGTGGCCCTTGTGGTTTTTCGACAGAATTTGTCGAGCTACATCGGAGTGTAAACGAGGTGGCCTCTGATAAGTAATTAACCTATCTTGATTACTAATTTATTAACCTGTCTTACAACTACCACATTTAATATAATTCTAATTTCCTACAAAAGTATTTCTTGCCGAGCGAGACAGGACGGCAAGTAGTTTCTTGAATAATTCGTACTAGCTTGTGACACATCTACGTGTATATGCATCGCACTAGTAAAATATCTGAGTTTGCATACTCTTGTATCAAAGTCTATTACAGCTTTTTGGGACACTATAGTTGTTATTTAAAACAATGAATAACGTTATCTTTATTCTCAATCTCAAATAAACCTGAAAGAGGGCAAGGAAGGAGGGCCATGAATCGAACTATTCGGTTTCCTAACTGAATTAATTATGTTTATCATCAGATGGATGATAAAAGCATGAAAGCGACTAGAAATATGATCTGGACCTAACTAATTGACATAAAACTGACTTGATATCAACTGATTCTAAAGAAAAGTTGAGAAATATTGATAATTGAATATTAACTCTAATAAACCACGATAATTGAGTTATCAACTCAAGTAGTTGATAGCTCTTCAATTTATAATGAAAGTGAATATTTCAAATAACAAATGACTTTTCCAGCGTTCCGCATATCACGTGACACAACCGAACACAACAAAATTAAAAAACGATCCTCCACAAAATTGTGACACACATTACTTTTGTAACCTTAGTGTATCACGTGACATGAGGGAAACAAAACCCAGCAAATTGTATCTGACCAATCATGTGATGTTATTCATCAAAACTAAATTTATTCAATTTCATTTGCGGATAATGGTCAATTGAGAGCTATTGGAGACCCGTACTTTTATTACTTACTCTTTATACAAGACAAGAGGGCTGTAAACTATTATTCCGGTTATAGTTCGACTTCGGTGAACTGTGAAAAGTACTGGGCAATGTAATCTTAACCAGTTCAGAATTGATACGATATTCTAATGAATGATAAAAAAATATATTCATAGTAGCTTTCGTACAGGAGTTTTTCATGTTTATGGAAGATGAGAAGTACGGAATATTCCAACAGGAATTCAAGATTACTGGATTATATTTGGTGATTTCTTTCTAGTTCTCAAGATGGTTCAATTCACTCTGACACAAGTACCATAATTTTTGGACCAATATTTCTTTCTTTCTGCTGGACTCTTTATTCTGATTGAATAGTATCAAACATTTTAATTTTTCTTCATGAATGCAATGAACACATCACAAAAGATTCACTGCTCGTGAAGGTCCCACTTATTACTCTTTCACTTCGGTATGTTCTCTCAGAGATATTGAAAAGTTAATCTAAATCCGAATTTATGCATATTGGTATATTTTGCAATGACGGGTGAACTTGTGTATTTCGGAAATGTAAATAAAGAAAAGGTCCTAGTGATGACGGAAAAATTTGTATAATATAATAATATTTAGTTTCGTGTAATAAGATATTCCTTTTTTTTTCAGCAACCACAATATCGACAACTGATAAATGTTCAACAGATGGGAGGCAATGGAGCTAGACCACAAATGGGTCAACAAATGCCTAATTCGCAGCCAGGCCAAATGGGCACCTTCGATGAAGTGGCAGGCTTTGACTTGAATAATATTATATAAATTTTTTTATTAATAAAATCCAATTTCGGATTTGGATAAACATTTCATGGATAAAACTAATTTTTCTACAAGCAGTATATCTACGTAGATATTTGTCACGATGTTGCCCGATTTCTTGATATCTTCTTGAAATGAAATAAGTGAACATTCTCATTATCCAGGTCTCCCCTTCAATTTTCGGTATTCACATGGAGAATAGAGGATATTTTACCAATAACACTGTTATCAGAGTATTATTCGTTCTCAACAGTTCTTTTACGGGTATTTCTTCATCGATTTTCGTAACTCACATTATTTTGTGTTCTTAGGTTATATCAAGCTCTAGTTAAATTATTTAGTTTGTTTGAAAACTGAATTCCTACGCTATACTCGATATATCAAAATTTTAGTAATATGCTGAACAATGCTGAATGTACATGGCATACATGGCAGACATTTTTCAGTGTCAATAGTGGAAAAAATATTATGCATATCTCGGGTGAGTGCTATTATATAGGTCGCACATTAAAAATGTTTGCTATATAATAGCTCACTTCTCACCTTATGTGTATAGTTAGTTATTTATTATACAAGGAAAAATGGAGTAGATTTTAGCTCCAGGTTGTGTTGTCTCCCGACGCGTAGCGGACATGTGTCCAAAAAAGCTTCCAAACGGCGCTACAGCCCTTTGAAGGTAGGTCTATAAATGCAGTTTTCTTCATTGATTCTGAAAATACCAGAATTCCGTACTCAAGGTTAATTTGATGTAAAAAATCGTTTCATGATAAGGAAAAAATGATGTGCGAAACTCGTAACCGATGATATAAAAATGTCCCACTTATTTTCCACGATTTCTCTAATATTTAGTGTACTAGAATACGATTCTTCAAACACCTTCACATGAAAAAGATACTCTTGTTAGTATGCCGTTTAACGAACAGTTTTCGAGAAGAGTGTAATTTTTCATTATGATGTCTAAAAAATTTCACAATGATTTTGGGCGTTTGATCTTATGATAAAAAATGTGGAGGTTGAAAATTTTGCATTTTTAGCTATTTTTGTTTTGTTAAACTCGAACGTGATGTTGATTTGTTGAGCAAATATCCGTAATGGAAATGGCGAAATTTCACAAGCTTATTCACGTGAATTTTTTGTGTATTTCAAAATGACAAACTACCCTTCTCGCGGAAACGGTTCGTTTTACCGCACTCCAAGAGTACTTTCTTTATGTAAAAGTGTTAGAGGAATCATATTCTGGTACTCAAAATGAGATGAAATGTGAAACAAAAAAACATTTTTATAGCATCGGTTACGAGTTTCGCATTACCCACAGGTACCAAAATTTGTGATTCTAATCAATGGTACCTAAAGAAGATAATTGAAAAACTACATTCAAGGACTTATCTTCAGAGGGCTGTAGCGCCCTTAAGGACATTTTAGAACACATGGTGATACGAACGACGTTATTCTGGGAACGAAAACCAATAATATTTTTTTAGAGCTTGTAATGTAAAAAGTTCAAAAAAGGCCCTTGGCTCTTTGAACTGTTGAGCAATGAGATTCCTGAGGGGTGAATTCTTTGGACTATCCTCCTTTAGGCGATTTATGTGCTATCAGGGTGAAATTTTGATTGTGCTAAGTGAAATGGGCGCCAGTCTATTTTTTTCTGTTGTGTGGAAAGAAATATAGACAAAAAAAAGTACAAATATTAAATAAAGATAATTACACTTCAAGAACTCTCTCCTATCCTAGCAAGAACAATGAAACCCACTTAATCAAGTATGCCAATCTATTATCAGACAATCAGAAAAATCAGACAATAAATTGAAACAAAACTAAAGAATATAATAGCAAATGGTTAACAATTGTTGCACCACATCTACAAGATAGTCTGCGCCCTGTATATGAGATTGATATCCACACTGACTCACGTCGAGTCATACGATTATGCAAGGGCACAATCATCGGGGGAAAAGAAGGCGGACGGTTGTCAGTTAGGCAGTCTTCGCGAATACGTGGTGTAGTACTGTGGTATTTCTCAATATAGTGTGCTTTAGTTACAACAGAGTTTCGATACCTCAAATCAGAAGTGGCGAAAAAGAACCTACAGGATGGCTGGAAAGCGTAAACGTCCTTGTTCGTCTAGTTCAGTAGCGAGTACTACGAGTTATCACGGGGATACCGATACAGAGTCCTCAAATCGCATTTGTGATGTTCGGCATCCTAGTAAGATGATGTCGAGAAGTTCCTGTGGAAGAAGTGATTCTGCCAACTTCACTACAATGCAGCGGGGATTCAGCATGTTGATGCTCTAAGCAGAAATCCCGGATTCACAAAGGAAACTCATGACATGTGTATGATAACGGAAGACGATTGGTTGAAGGAAGCCCAGAATCAAGACCGGGAAATTAAAGACATAAAGAACATCCTCCTCTCAGGTGATAGAGACAATAACTCCGCAGTTTTCAAGGATTACGATCTTCGTGGCAACAAAGTTTATTGACTCACAAATTATGGTCGGAGATGGGTAGTACTCAAAAACTGCAGGTGGCAAGTTGTCAAACTGAACCATGATGACGTCGGACATTTTGCATTTGAGAAAACACTAGAGAGGCTACGTCAATACTATTGGTTTCCGAAAATGAGACGATTTGTCAAGAAATATATCGAATCCTGCCTGAACTGTTTGTACCATAAATCAACTGGTGGAAAAAACCCGGACTTTTACACTCTATACCTAAATACGCTTCACCCTTCCATACTCTTCATGCTGACCATTTAGGACCATTCGTGAAATCCCAGGCGAACAATAGTTACCTTCTTGTTTTAGTGGACGCCTTCACCAAGTTTGTAGTAATCAGAGCAGTTCCAGATACCAAAACCGTCCACGTAATCAAGGAGTTTGACCAGCTCGTGAACATTTTTCGGAATCCTCGAAGGTTGATTTGTGACGCTGGCAAAGCATTTACCTCTGAACAGTTCATCAACTTTTGCGAGCAGAAAGGTATAAAACTATTCAACACAGCAGTTGGTATGCCGAGAGGTAATGGTAAAATTGAGAGAGCAAACAAGGTTATTCTCGATGCTCTAGCGACTACAGGTGATAACACTACCGATGACAACTGGGACGAAAAGTTGAATGCCATTCAACAGGGGATCAACAGCACTCACCACAAAGTCACCTCTGCTACCCCCGCTGAACTTCTTCTTGGCATAAGACATTTTAGATGTGACAGAGCTGAGACGTAAAGCAAGTGAGAGATTGGAAGAAAAGAGGTGTTATCAAAATAACTATTTCAATCAAAAGAGACGGGTCTCAGATGGATTCCAAGTTGGAGACTTGGTGTTGACCAGAATTTCCAGCCTTCCATCCAACGATGGTCAAGGTAAGAAGTTATTAGCTAAATACAAGGGACCATTCAAAGTAATTGAGGTGTTACCTAAAGATCGCTACAGGTTTAAAGAGGACATACATTCAACTCGATCAAGAATACCATACGAGGCTGTAGTTTGCTTGGAACATATGAAACCTTTCAAAATAATATCTTGAATGGTGAGTAGACCATACCAGGGGTGGGAGATTGCCCGTTTGCTGGCAGGGTTGGGAGATTGCCCGTTTGCTGGCAGGGGTGGGAGATTGCCCGTTCGCTGGCTGGGTTGGGAGATCGCCCGTTTGCTGGCATGGTTAGGAGATTGCCCGTTTGCTGGCAGGGGTGGGATATTGCCCGTTTGCTGGCAGGAGTTGGAGGTTGCCCATTTGCTGGCAAGGGTGGGAGATTGCCCGTTTGCTGGCAGGGGTATAGGGAGTGTGCGAAGCAGGAAATATTAGTAACCCGAATCTTGTTTGCATTTTTCAGACTGAGGTCGCGATCGGGGACAATCGCAAAATCCAGGATGGCCGAGTGTTGCACCACATCTACAAGATAGTCTGCGCCCTGTATATGAGATTGATATCCACACTGACTCACGTCGAGTTATACGATTATGCAAATCATCGGGGGAAAAGAAGGCGGACGGTTCTAAGTTAGGCAGTCTTTGCGAATACGTGGTGTAGTACTGTGGTATTTCTTAATATAGTGTGCTTTAGTTACAACAGAGTTTCAATACCTTACACAATGTTTCTCTAACTGATTTTTATCTCTTCAGACGAGCTTTGATCAATATTTATGCTAGATTTACAGTGTTATAGCCTATATAAGAGGTAATAGACTGATTGTTAATGATGCATATGCTATCAAAGACCTCGAACCCCAAGAAGAAGACGAACCCCTGAAAACATCAAGTACACCCTCTACAGAGAACAGATCCTGACACCAAAGAGAAAAAACCTCTTGAGAACAGTTGAGACTGGTTCTTCTCAATAACACGAAACTGGAAATAACTAGAAGACAAGAGCAACAAAACATCAAGAAGCTGGATAACCCCAAAGAAAACTGAGAAAACTCTCAACCAGAGAAGTAAAATTACTATTATGAATATTATTCCAAATCCAAACATAATCTGTAGAAAGATATTCAAAATAGTTGATCCATCTCCCGTTCTGACATATATTGTTCATCATTACTGTTAGTTCTCAAACTCACTATCCAAAAATAATAACATTGAGATTAATTTTTCTTTTCTTTACTTGCTATCGCCAAAATAATTAAATTCTTTTCATCATATAAAATATGGATTAGTGACAATATAGACTAGACGAATCTTGTTTTCAATAATAGTATAGGAAATGTAACCATAAATTCTTCTGTTCAAAACTTTACGGGCACGAAAATAGTACAGGAAATGTAAGCATGAATTCTCATGTGCAAAATTTTGAGGTCACGAAAATAAGTTGATATATTCTAGATCCTTGCTAGACAAAAAAGGTGTTGAAGGTAAATGAACATACGACCAATTTCAAAATCATACATAATAACAGAAGAAGTATAAGGAAAATTTTTTATGAATTCTTAGTCTTACTTGAAAATCTCGACATTGATTTTGATTATTTAGTATTGACTGAGACATGAAAAATCCATGATATCGGAGTCTTCCATATACCCACATATAAAATACTATAAACTGAAGGGTGCCTAAATCAAAATGATGGCAGAGTTATTTT